CAATAATCGTTCAAATTCTGTGAGAATGGGGACGTCCACACCACAGCTATAACAATAATGACACAGAGGAACGATATTGTTGGAATAACTTTCAAAAGGATTCCCGCTGGTGAACCATAAAAACACTAATAGACCATCAGAATACATGTGACTTCAAAGCAGTAGTTTTATTTATTTATTTAGGCTATTTGATGTGTAGATTAATTGTTGTTATTATAATAGTAAGTACATGTAATGTGCAACAAGGACACCTTAAAATAAAGTGTTACCAAACATTTTATGAGAATAGTGAAATCCACACTGCAACTACAACATTTTTATAACACACACACACACACACACACACACAAAAAGCTGCCTGACATTTAATGCTTGCAGCAGACAACATAACCGTGCAGACTTATAAAAACCAGAGCGTTATCATCTGTGATGTGGATGCTAATATAGTTATCATTCTTGGTGTGAACGGACCTCAACTATAACTATAAAGTTTCAATAATCGTTCAAATTCTGTGAGAATGGGGACGTCCACACCACAACTATAACAATAATGACACAGAGGAACGATATTGTTGGAATAACTTTCAAAAGGATTCCCGCTGGTGAACCATAAAAACACTAATAGACCATCAGAATACATGTGACTTCAAAGCAGTAGTTTTATTTATTTATTTAGGCTATTTGATGTGTAGAGGTTTTTTTTTTAATTACTAAAATTAAGTAAGCAGTAGTTTTATATATTTTTACCATAGACATATAAAATATTTTTTAAGATTTTGGTGCTCCCTATTTACTGTTGCAAATTATTACTGTCGTAAAGCAATTAGTTGTTTTTTTGCGGAATTTTGTACCCACTCACACAAGACATTTGAAGAGACCGAGGGAAAGAAACAGATAATAAAGAGAACATTATTGTGCTTTAGTGTGGGCGCTAATACAGTTATCATTATAGTTATTGTTCTTGGTGTAAACAGCCCTAAAAAGCGCTAAAATATCCGACCTGCGATGGTATACAGAGCGGTAATGGCAAGAAGCAAAACCACAGCGAGGTAGATGTTCCACTGCAGAGCCTGCTGGATGAACACAGCTCCTGCATACATGTCCACCTGCACACAGAGCAACACAGAGAGCTGCTCACAGCTGATCAGCAAATCCGCTCTGGCAATTACACTTTTAAATTTAGCATTCTTACTGATATTTTTGTGAAGATGTAGATAAATAGATATAAAACACAAAGAAATAACTGTATTCTTTTTCCACCAAATCTTTTCTGTAGATACTCGGGCATTGTTGTGACCTGCAAAATAATGTAAAATCATTTTAATTCACAGGAATTGCAAAAACAACCAGATGAACACAGTTGCATATATGGATATATATATATATATATATATACATATGCAACTTTTGAACATTGATTGTAAAAGTATTTCCTGTCACTTTTAACCAGTTTAATTCGTCCTTGCTGAATAAAGGTATTCATTTCCTTGAAAAAAGTTTACAGACTCAATATATATATATATATATATACATATATACTGTATATTTATACACACACACACACACACACACACTCTACCTTTCAAAAGTTTTGAGTCTGTAAACTTTTTTCAAGGAAATTTATTCAGCAAGGACGCATTAAACTGGTTAAAAGTAACAGGAAATACTTTTACAATCAATGTGGTAACACTTTATAATAACCTTCATTAATAAATCATTAACAAACATTATATAATGCTCAAAGGATCATAGGTTAATATAAATTCACATAGCTAGAAATGTTTACTAATAAACGTATTAAACGTAACCTAATGATTAACAGATCATTATTTCGTGTAAATTAAAATGCTTACAAATGTCATTAAAATTATATGATTCATTAAATTAAATATATGAATTAAATATGTCATTAAATATATGAACTGAAGTTAAATGACATTTTTTTAGCATTCAAAAGTACAATAACAAATAATCTTTTAATCATTGTAGAATTTCTGTTAAAATCATTTGTAGATTTTTAAGAAGTGCATGATTGTATGAATTGAAAGTTTAATGACATATGTAAGCATTAACTAATGATTTGTTAAGCATTATATAATATTTGTTAATGATTTATTAATGAAAGTTATTATAAAGTGTTACCGACTGTAGTAACGATGCTGAAAATTCAGCTTTACCATCACACAAATAACACGTTAAAATAATGTAATTATATTTCACAGTATTACTGTTTATACTGTATTTTTATCAAATAAATGCAGCCTTTGTGAGCATATAAGAAGGAAAAATTTTACCAACTCCAAACTTTTGAACAGTAGTACATACATATTTTATATACTAGAATTTGGTTGATCTCACATGTGCATATCACACAGAACAGAACAAAATGTTATAATTTCAAG